AACAACAACAACAACAACAAGAAACCCTCAGGGGCCCCTGTCCCCAGCCTTCCACTCACTCAAACTAATCCGCTCTATCAAGCAGCCTATATTGCCCTGGAGAGGAAGAAGTTCCTTTCCCTGGTGAAGAAGAAGCAGCATCTTTGTGCCATCCAGAAGATCACTGAAGAGGATGTTGAATCTGTCTTTCCTGGCAATGAGGCCAAGGGACTGAGAAAAGAGATGCTCCTCCTCCATACTGATGTTGTCTCTGCCGGCCTAGGGAAGAGCAAGCAAGAGAAGGCCTGGAGGTCTCACTATGATGCTTCTTCCATCCTTTCTCTTTCATTGTATGTTGCAATGGAGATGAGGAAGGGGATGGATTTGCCTTCCCCAACCATCCAGCGCGCTAGCAGATCAAGGAGCAGCAATGCAACAGTGCTTCCTCTCTTCCGATCCATTGCCAAGGCTGTCAAGGAGGTCGTGGATAAACAGGCGGATGAGGTGAGTGAAAAGCAGAACAAGAGATCTTCCATCAAGCAACAAAGGGGTGGAAAGAGAAAGCAAGACAAGATCCCCTTTGATCCAACCAAGGCTGAGTCTTTTGCTTGCCCTAAGTGTGGATGTACAGCTTGCATCATGCCAGTCAAGTGGACGGATGAAGTGAACCAAAAGAACCAAGAGGCGTACGACAAGTACACCCAGGAGATGGAGGAGTATGAGAGGACTGGGGAGGGGAAGAAGCCCAAGTATCCAACTTCTAAAGGACAGCTGCTTGGATGCTGGGCCTACAAGATCCATTGCAAGTACCAAGCAGATGGAGGGAACTGTCTGGAATGTCAAAAGGCTGCAGGAACTAGCAAATACCTCACGCGTGATGCAGATGGAAAGCCAGTTTGCTCGTGTCCTATCTGCAAGAGCAGCTGTGATATCCTCTTCAAAAGAGAGGACTTGTACAAGGCTGCTTTCCAAGCTGACCAGGAGGCAACTAATCGGCTACAGACAGAGCAACCAGCTAGTAACTATCCCCAGTTCTTCCACCATGTTGTCGCCTCTACCCTACAGAATGGGGTTATTGATGCAGCACTAGAAACAGGGTGTGCTGTGGATGATCCAGGGAATGTTCAGGATGCTTATGGGTATGCAGGGAGTCGGTTGCTTGCTGAGGATAGTATCCAGGGGAACCTGACCATGAGAGACACGTTGAAAGAGTATGGGCCAATGGGGACTCAGACCAAGACTGGTGTATCTATTCACGCTCTTAGGAAGGGGAGGACTGCAGCAAATCCCAATCCGAATCCAGAAGCACCAAGGGGATTTGGTATTCCCAATGCAAGGGAATTGCAGCAGCAACAGCCTCAGCGACAGCCTCAGCAACAGGCCCGTGTTGCTCCCCAACAGCTGCAGGCTCCTACTGCGAGAGGACCTGCTATGTTCAACCATCAGGACACTCAATTTCATAGGAATAGGCTGGGTTCGTCTACCACACCACAACCTTTGAATACTAGTGCTGGTCTGCTTGCCTCTAAGCTCGCGGCTGCTAGTGGTAGTAGTAATGGAAGTGCTGTGCGTCCTCGGCCTGCAGTTGCAGCTACTGCTGCGCATCCTTGGCCTGCAGTTGCAGCAGCAGCGATGCCTCCTCCAGCTCCTGTTTCTACAGTATCTAGTACCAAGAGATCCTACAGCACCAGAGGGTCCTCCAGCTTGGATCCTATCAGTATTCTTAGTAATGACAGTGAAAGCTTGGGCTTCCTCTCCAGCTTCGACAACACAGGCAAGGGGGACTTGAAGCCAGTGGTGGTGAAGTCTGAGTTCAAGCTTCCTGGTCCTTTGCCCAAGCATCAGAAGGCCTCTGCTCCGCCAGCTACTCCAGCCTTTGCAAGGAAGATCAGGCAGGAATCTGTCAAGCAGTCTCATCTTGGTACTGGCACCCCTTCTACAATGAAAGCACTGGGTCTACTGTCTATGCAGCTTACTGCTGAGGACACTAGTACTGAAGCAATGGCACTGAAGAAGCAAGCCCAGGATATGGAGAACGTCTGTCCTAATGTGGAGCAGGCAACTGATTCCTTGGTGAAGTTTGCTAAGCGCCAGCTCTTTCCAAAGAGGGGAAAGGATGCTGTTCCTGCTTCAAACACTGGTGGCTTGAATTTGCTCGCAGTAGCAGCAAGCACTGGCTCAAAGCGCCCAGCAGTACTAGGCTGCGGCTTGGGCCTCAAGCATGTTGCCAAGCATGCTGTCAAGCATTCTGTGTTGAGCAAGCCTGTTGTTGCTGCTGCTGCAAAGAAGGCAACAGCTGTTCCAAGCAAGAAGGCTAGCAACAGTCCTGGTAGCTTACCCAGTAGCCAGAGCTCAGATGGATTTGACTATGGAGACAGTGATTGATTGAGTCTGGCTCATCCGCCGTCTTGTCCTTCTTACCAATGAATGCTGAATACTGAAAGCATCAATTCGCTGAGTGCATCAACCCTCTAATGGTGGTTCTTTTCCTCCTGTTTCTCCACCATTAGGATGCCTCACTGTCTCTTTTGTACAAACAGAGCAGCTTGCGCATGCTGTTGTAATCCCTGTGATTGCTGTTGATACAGTAGAACGCCAAGTACCTCCTTGTTGAGGTAGTACTACTAATGTAATAGTATAGAGACATATTAGTTTGTAAAGCAACTCGCTGTAGGTTCCAGACGCGCTGTAGTATATTCTAAAACTGTAGGCCCAGGACAAGTTGCGTGATCAGCAAGCTGGTCTTTGGGGTATTGCTCACGTCTATTGCAACTACTCTTGGTAGATATTATTCTTACTAAAGATAAACTGTATACAAATAGTACTGCTGTGGAATGGAAGGACCACGTGTTGGATCCATCCTTCCTCTTGAGTATGTCTCAACTGTACTTGAATCAATCTAGTCGATTCGCGAATCGATTGAGCATCCAAGCTGCAAGGCAAGCTGCTCCAAGCAACTGGAATCCAAGCCTCTCCAGTAGGATTGAACTTTGATAGGCCCAGAAGGAGTCAACTCGCCAGCGAGCCACGCTCCAGGGGATTGCTCCAGTCCATTACAGCTACTTGCTGAATCCAGCTCACTTGCTGGAGACCAACGCGTTGCTGTTGTTGCTTCTTCAATAATATCTCCTGGGCTGATACACACCATCCACAGTATATCCACAATGATCAAAGGTTGAATCAAAAGGACCCAATGATCTAAATGCCTCTGTTCTAAGTGATTGCTCCATATCTGCAGTGGTCCAGCAAGGCATTGCCATCTTGCTTACAGCTCCAATGAGATCACAGATCTTATACTCAATAGGTCCGTACTTGGGTTGGTAAGGAGGCCTAGGAATGGATACAAAGCGAGTCCCTGCTCCAGTTGGTCTGTCATGAAACGTTTGAGCCACCACGCCAGTCAAGTGAGCACTAAGATTGTCCCAAAGAAAGACCTGGTGGGAATCTGTGTCCCCTGGAGCTGGATGCTGCTTGATATCAGTGCAGATCTCATCGATAAACTGAGCAAAGGTCCAAGCTGTTGTCCCTGCTGTTCTAAGGATGTCGATCCATCTCCTTGGGTTCTGGATACTTCCCCTTGTCTCAGGAGGAAGCCCGGGATCCCCTGGCTCAATAGCCAGCAATACGGTCAGCTTCTCAGTCCGCTCATAGTGTCCAGGGGTTCTAGACCTCCTGCTTTTGATTGCCCATCCATACCTGCAGTTGGTCCTTTGCATATTGAAAGCAAACTCATCCACATCAATGAACTTCCTTCTAGGAATCCCCACTACTCCAAGGGGGAAAGGCTGAGTCCAAAAGAACTCACACCTTATCAAGTTCCTAGGCATGAAGGCCTGATAGGCTTCAGTGGAATTCCTCTTCCTTGTCACCTCCATCCCATGCAGTCTCCTGGAGATATCTACAAGTGAATAGATCCCTCCCCCCTCATTATAAATGAATGTTGCCAACTCGTCAAAGCTGGCAGAAGGATTGATAGTCAAACCAATAGTAAGGACATAGAGATCTGGTCCAACCAGTTTGCTT